GGGGAATTTTTTTAAAAAAGAGAAAAAAATTTTTTAAACAAGGGAAAAAAAAAAAAAAGCCCAGAAAACCAAGAAAATTTTCCTTGGGGGGAAGGGGTCCCCCTTTTTGAAAATGGTTGGGGGGGGCCTTTTTTAAAAGAAAAAAATTTTTTTGGCTTTTTAATTTTTTTTTCCTCAGTAAAAAATTTTTTTTTGGGGGGAAGATTTTTTTTTGGAAGGCCTTTGAGGAAAGGGAAAAACCAACCCAAAAAAATTCCCAAGCCTTTTTGGGGGAGGTAAAAAAATCTTCCCAGCAAAAGTGGTTTTTTAGGATTAAGCCACCCCCCCCCTGTTTTTAGGGGGGAAAAAAGTTTTTTGAAAAAAGGTTTTTTTTTTTCAAGGGGGATTAATCCCAAAATTCCCCCCTTGCCCCCCCTTTTGCCAGGGAAAGAAATGGGGGGGAGGAAAAGGAAAAAACAACGGAAGGAAAATTCTTTTTTTTGGGAGAAATATTCAAACATGCCCCAGCTTAAAACAAAAATTTCCTTTGAAAAAAGACCCCAAATTTTAATTGTTTTGGGGGTTTCCAAGAAAAAAATTTAAATGGATTTTTTTTTTTTTGGGGGCCCTTTGGGGGGAAAAACAATATTTTTTTTTAAATCAAAAAACCCTACTGGGGTTTTTTTCCCCTTTTGGGGCCCCTTTTTAATTTTATACTTCTGTTGGGTGGGTGTGTGTGGTGTGTGTGGTTTTGGTGTGGGGTTTGTGGGGGTGGTGTAAAACAAGGCCCCCCCTTTTTTTAAAAGGGAAAAAAAAATAAAGTTTTTTTTTGAGTTTCAGGTAACCCTCTTTTTTTTAGAGGCAAACCAATCCCAATCCCTTTAAAACAAAGTCCCCTTTTTTTTTTTATTTTTGGGTTTTTTTTTTTTCCTTCTCCCCCTTTTTTAACCCTAATTCCCCCCAAAAATTTTTTTTTTTTTTTTCTGAAAACCTGGTTTGGGGGGATTTTTAAAGCCCCCCCCCAGTTCCCCAAAAACTCCAGCCATTCAGGCAAAAGCCTTTAACTTGGGGGAAAAAGTTAAAAAAAAATTCCACCTGGATTTTTTTTTTAAGGCCTTACAAAAAAAAAATTCCCCAGTAAAACCTTTGGGAAACAGTTTCCCAAAAACTTAAAAAGGAAAAAAGAAATTTAAAAAGACCAACAAAAACTAAAAAATTTTTTTTTCACAAAATGGATTTTTTTAAAACTTTTGTTTTGTTTTTTGGTTTTTTTTAAACAAAATTGAAAGGTAGATTTTGGTTGGTTTATCTTTTTTTCTTTTTTTTTTTTAATTATAGCAAATTTTTAAATTGGTGGCCCCTTTTTTTTTTTTTTTTCAACTGTTGAAAATAGAAATTTATAACCTCACCAAAGCAAAAAATTACCAAATTTTTGGGGTTTTATTTCCCGTTTATTTTTAGTCCCTGGCCCTTTTTTTTTGGTTGCCTTTCTTTTTCCTTTTTTTTTAAAGGAAAAAAAAAAAAAATTCCAATGAGGTTTTCCCCAAAAATTTTTCTTAAATTTTTTTTTTTTTTAAAAAAAAACGAAATAAAAAAGGGAGATAAATTGAAACCAAATGTTGAAAAACAAAAAATTATTAAATTTTCAATTTTTTTTTCCCCAAACAAGGTTTCTTTTCTTTTTAACCTTTCTCTCCCAAAAAAAAAGAAATCATACCTCTGGGTTTTTTTTTTTTTTTAATGTGTGTTTTTCAGGTAAATTATTTTCAAATCCAAGAAAAAAAACCTTGTTGGGGGTTTGGGATTAAAAGGAAAACTGTGAAAAAATCCAGCCCCTTTTTTGAAAAATTTAGGGTTTCCAATTAAATTTTTTTTTAAAAAAAATTTTTTGCTGCCATGTTTTTTTTTTTTCATTTTTTTTTTTTTTTAAAAGCTTATTGAAAATTTTAGAGAAATTTTCCCAAATACCCTAAATTTTTTTTTATTTTTCTTTTTTTTGAAATCAATGGTTCTAACTTTTTTTTTAATAAATTCTTTGCCCAATTTTTTTTTTTTGGGCCTGGGAATTTTTTTTTCGTTAAAAAAAAATAAAAAAAACATCAAAAAACAAGGCCAAGGGGTTTCCCTTTTTTTTCTCTTTTTTTTTTTTTTGAGGTCCCAGTTTTAAATTTTTTTTTTTTTTTTATCCTAAGCCAAAACCTTTTTTAAGGCAACATTGTCCTTTGGCTTTTTTTTTTTTTGGGGAAATTGAATGCCCCTCCAAACAAAAACCTTTTGTTTGGGAATGAATGGGAAGGTTTTTGTCTTTCAGGTTTTTTTTATGAAAGCCTTGTTTTTTCCAATCTATTTTTTTTTTTTACCTTTTTTTTTTTTTTTTCCAAAGAATTTTGGTTTTTGTTTTTCCCTCCTTGGAAAATATCAAAGAAGTTTTTTTTTATTTTTTTTTATATTCCCCAGACTTTGAACAAACTAAAAACAAAAAAGGTTTTCCTTCATTTTTTTTTTTTTTTTTTTCCCTTAACCTTGGGCCTATTACTAGTGTTTTTTTTTTTAAATTCCTTGGGGAAAACAAAAGATACCCTCTTTTTTTTTTTGCAAAAAAAATTTTTTGAGTTGTAAAAGAAAAGGAGAAAAGGCAAAATTTTTTTTTTTTGGGTTAATGGAAAGTTTTTCTGCTTTGGTGTTTTTTTTTTTCTTTTTTTTTTTTTTTTTCTTTTCTTTCCCTCCAATCCCAACAAAAAGTTTGGCAAAAAGTTCCATTTTTTTTTTTTTTTTTTTTAAAAAGTTGGAATTTCCAGGTTGCCCAGAACAAAATATCCTTTTTTTTTTTTTTTATCAATAAAAAATTGAAATTTGAAGTGTTTTTTTTTTTTTTTTTTGATGATAAAGGAATTTTTAATCTTTTGAAAGGAAAAATTGGGGTCCTAAAGTAAAGCTTTTTGTTTTTTCCTCTTTTCTCCTTTTCTTTCTTTCCTCCCTCTTTTCCTCCTTTTTCCTCTTTCTTTTTTCCCTCTCCTCTCTTTCTTCTTCTTCCTCTTCCTTCCTCCCTTGGGTTGGGCCTTTTTCCAGGTTTTTTCCTTTTTTTTTTTTTTTTTTTTTAAAACATTCATTTTTCTTTATGGCTGCATAGTATTCTGTTGTGTATATATACCACATTTTATTTATCCAGTCCTCTGCTGATGGACACTTAGGTGGATTTCGTATCATTGCTGTTGTGAATAGTGCTGCAATAAATATACGAGGGCAAGTACCATTTTATATATTAATTTCTTTTGCTTTGATTAGATACCCTGTAATGGGATTGCTGGATAGTATGGTAGTTCTATTTTTAGCTCTTTCAGAAATATCCATACTGTTTTTCATAGAGATTGCACTAATTTACATTCTCACCAACAGTGTATAATGGTTTCCTTTTCTCTGTATCCTCACCAATATCTGTTTTATTTTGTATTTTTAATAATAGCTATTCTGATTGGTGTAAGATGTTATCTCATTATAATTCTAATTTGCATTTCTCTAATAATTAGTGATGTTGAACATTTTTTCATATGTCTGTTGACTATTTGTTTGTCTTCCTTTGAAAAATGTCTATTCATGTCCTTAGCCCACTTTTTAAGGAGTTATTTGAGGTTGTTTTGTTGTTGTTGAGTTGTTTAAGTTCTTTGCATATTCTGGATATTAGTCCTCTGTCAGATGTATAGTTTACAAATATTTTCTCCTATTCCTTAGGTTGTCTATTCACTCTGTTGATTATTTCTTTTGCTGTGCAGAAGCTTTTTAGTTTGATTAAATCCCATTTGTCTATTTTTGTTTTTGTTGCCTGTGCTTTTGAGGTCTTAGTCATGAATTCTTTGCCTAGACCAATGTCTAAAAGAGTTTTCCCTAGGTTTGCTTCTAGTATTTTTATAGGTTCAGGTCTTACATGCAAGTCTTTAATTCATCTTGAGATGATTTTTGTATATGGTGGGAGATAAGGGTCCAGTTTTATTTTTTTGCATATGCCAATTCAATTTTTCTAGGTGTTTATTGAAAGGGGTGTCCTTTCTCCAGTGTATGTTATTGTCAACTTTGTCAAAGATAAGTTGGCTATAAGTATGTGGCTTTATTTCTGGGTTCTCTATTCTGTACCATTGATCTATGTATCTACTTTTATACCAGTTTCATGCTGCTTTGTTTACTATAGCCTTGTAGTATAATTTGAAGCCAGGCAACGTGATGCCTGTAGGTTCGTTCTATTTGCTCAAGATTGTGTTTGCGATTTGGGCTCTTTTTTGGTTCCATATGAACTTAGAATTTTTTTTCCTAATTTTTCAAAGAATGATGTTGGTATTTTGACAGGGATTGCATTAAACCTGTAGATTGCTTTGGTAAGTATAGTCATTTTAATAATATTAATTCTTCCAATCCACAGCCATCAGATGTTTTTCCATTTGTGTCATCTACAATTTCTTTCATCAGTGTTTTGTAGTCCAACTATTCAACTCTGCTGTCTTAGTGCAAAAGTAGCACAGATAATACATAAACAAAGGAATGTGGCTGTGTTCCAATAAAACTTTATTCACAAAACCAGATGGATTTGGTCCATGGGTCATATTCTAAGAGTATTCATGTGGAATATTAAATCTACATGAATATAGTATTCATAGTGTTCACACTATGCTGGAACATTTTATTAGTTATGATTAAACCTTGAATGTTCACTGACTTTCCATATGAATGGGCTCAATATGCTTTATATCCAGACTATTATTTATTCCTAAGAAATACATGAGAGGAATATTTTGTTACCCTTATTTTATGGATAGAAAAATGAGCAACTTGGAAAAAATTTAGTGAAATGTGATATGACTTTCCCAAGGGGACAAAGAAAGAGTTATAAACTATATTAGAGTTCATAGTTTCTGCTTATTTAGGGCTTTTCCGGTGATTTCTATTATTAGTTCACTCCAAATAAATGCACATGTAGAAAGAATGCCTCATAACCACCCTCCCTAACACCTTTTATTTTCTTGCCAGTGTAGGAGAAAACTGAACTCACCCCAGATCAACAGAATCTTCTACATTACATTATGGATTCATATAGCAAACAGAGGATGCCTCAGGAAATAACAAACAAAATTGTATGTATTATATCTGAAAATACATGGGTTTGAAGTTAGTATTTTCTTGAGCTTTTATTACTTTGAAGGTGGAATTTATATATGAATATGTCACTTTGAAATGATTAGAGATGAGAATTTAAGTTATATATTTAAACTCTTATCAACATTAAATAATTAAAGAGTAAGCAGTCTCACATCTATCTTGGTAACGGTAACTTCTCTTCAAAGATCTGAAAACCATTAGCTGGGTCTTTAAATCTTATTTTCTAAATCTAGTTTTTCTTTAGTCTAATGATTTTATATTGATTTATCATTTTCTTATCTACTTACTAATCATTTACTTTCTTCTTAAAATTTAGTTAAAAGAAGAATTCAGTGCAGAAGAAAATTTTCTCATTTTAACTGAAATGGCTACCAATCATGTACAGATTCTTGTTGAATTCACAAAAAAGCTGCCAGGTATTTTTTTTTAATAACAAAAGTTGATATTGACTGAGAGCTTAAGTATATGCCACAGATTATGTTAACCACTTTACATGAAGTGTTTTGTTCAATTCTCAAAACATTTTTTGTGAGATCAGATCTATTATCACTATTACTATTGCCAGGTACTTTTACCTATAAAAATGTAGTTATTTCTCTGCTACACTCTAAAATATTCTCATAACATTGAGAGAGGCAGTTCTTTTCATTGTAAAATTAATATTGCATCTGATTTAAATTGATGTGTCTAACTACTATAGATATGAGATTTTACTATAGATATGAGAGGTGGAAAGTATATTTAAAATCATTTATAACTCTTCCAAATCAATAGATTAAAAAATTGAGACTTTGTGAAGTTGCCATTCAACCATTTGTTCATTCAATAAGCTGTTGTTTATACCTACTCTATACTGTGTCTAGCTATTACCCTCAAGGAGAGTGATTAAAGGGTATAATAAAAATACACACATACACACACACACACACACACACACACACACACACACGTGAAATGCTATATGAATGGAGAGGAATTAGTTGCTAATTGTGCCTGGGAAAGAAGGGGAGATTTCAGAGAGGATCATATTTGAGTTGTGTCTGAAAGTGAAAGAATTTTTCCAATTGGCATGTGGGAGAAGGGGTGTTCTAAGTTTAGAGATATGCTTGTGAAAAGATAATAAGACATCAACAAGAATAGGGTTATTAGAAATCGGAAAGAAAATTCAGCATGACTGTAGTAAAATGACTATGGTGGGCTCCTTGAATAGACAATAAGGTAAGTTGGCACCAGACTGATAAGGGTCTTAGCTAAAGAATTTAATCCATGTCTCCTGTATGGTAAAGATATTTGGGTAGGTTAGAGAGGGAAATAAACTTTTTGTTCTAAATAGATGTTTTTATCAGGTTTGTATAAGATGTATTTGAACTGGAGGCAGGAAAGATCAGTTAGTATGCTACTGCACAAGTCCAGGCAAGAGGGTTTAAAATAAAGCAATAGCAGTGGGAAAGAAAAGAAAAAACAAAATGAGGAGAGATTCAAAAATTGATGGGGCTTGATGAATAGTTGTATGTGTGAGATAAGGGAGAGGGACTTATCTACAGTTATTCTGATGGTGCCAGCACAAAACTGAAACACAGGAGTCTTATCTCCCAGTCTCAAATTCTTTCTGCCATTTTATCAATGATATCTTAGCTAATAGGTTTAAGTTGTTTCAGTATTTTAAAAAAAATCTTGCTACATCAGAATCTCATGGTCTAGAAGAGTATAATAAATATTAATACCTTGGATAGCAGCATAACACTGTAATATTAAATTATAGAAAGAAACTTCTGACATAGGATTTTAATTAAACATATTAATTTCCCTTCTGTCATTATTTTATTAAATGTGTCATGAATAGACATTAGCCTACATAAAATTCATAAAATGTGAGGAGAAAGTTCTTGCCATCATTGAAACATTAATTATTCTCTCATTTCTTTATTAACAATGAAAGAGGAACTTAATTTGCTATATGCTAATTAAGCTGACTGAAATCTTGATAAAAAACAAAAACAAAATTACACCAGAGAAAAATCTCTGGGGGGAAGAATTGGAAAAGGGAGAAATATGATGTTTTTAGTTATTTATGGGAGAAGAGTTTTCAGTTCAAATGGTCAGTTGGTTTTAAACCAAGAAATAACTGAAGACAAATAAAAGTCATATTCATAAGAAAGTAGCTTATCTGAAAGTGTTACCAATATCTTAACATCTCTTCTTTCCCAATGCCTAGCCTAGCTCCCGAGGGAAAGAGTACAACTAATGTGCATTCAATGAGTAAAACAGAAGGAAAAAATTGAAAATACAGAAATAAATAAAAGGCACAAAAACCATTGAGAAGGAAAACAATTATTTATCAATAATCATAGAGATAACATCATTACAAATAGTAATGATAGGGATATAATAGGAATACTGAAAGGCCATTTTGTGAAAAAAAGGTTGAGTCACTGCATTCAGAAGTTTGCAGAGCATAGCCTGCGCCAGGCACTGTCCAAGGTGCTGGAGACCTAGAAGGGAATTAGGCATGGCTCCTGCCCTCAAAGAAGCTTGGAGATTCTCAAGAATAGTGACTCTGAATCCCTAGCATTGCACTCTTCTCTAAACTTCCACTGTTGTTTAATCCTTTCTTAAGCCATTTAGACCCTGAAGGCATTATTTATCTCTATTCATATTAGTTTGTGTGTGTGTATCAGCATGCACGTCAGCTTGTGTTTTGTTTTCCATTCACTCATTCGTTCAGTTGGTCATTCAATTACTCAACAAATAATTCTTGGGTACCTATTATATGCCAGGCACTGGGGATACAAAAGTAAATAAAATAAAGTATCTGTCCACAAGAAGTTTACCCTCAATAGAGGTGGCAGACAATTAACAAATAAGCAAATAAATCTCTCATACCGTGTCAGGTAATGGTAAGTTCTATGAACAAACATAAAGCAGGGAGAGAATAGGAGTGCTGGGAGTACCCGTTTAGGATGGGTAACTCTGGAGCAGAGACCTCACCGCAGTGAGGGAGTGGGCATGGGGGTATCTGGGAAGAGCATTCATCCCTGAGGCAAAAGTGGGCTTGTGTGTTCACAGTAGAACCTGGGGGTCAGTGTCCTGGGGCACAAAGAGTGAGGGGAATAAGGAGCAGGAAGTGAGGTCAGAAAGGCTGCTGGGGACTGTACCATATAAGCCTGGAGAAAGGACTTTGGATTTTCAGGGCAGTGTATTTTCCTTTAGGTTGGCAATTCTTCCCATATTTTTCTGATTTTCCCCACCCCATATGGTGCAGTCCTGAGTTCAGAACAGATACCAAAATATGACTTTGGTTGGCTTTTTGGGGAAATGCTACACATTCTGTAGATTGACTGAAGACTCATGGATCAGCCAAATATTCTGGATGCACATAACGTTTTCTCTGGCTTGCCGATGCTTCCATTCTGCAAAGTTGGCCCTTTCACACCAGGTGTGACAAAAATAGTGGCTCAAAGAGTATCTGCCTAACTCCGGTTTCTGAGGGTTGCTTCATCTGAATCACTCTGTCTCTGACATAATATATGTATCTGGTGAGGACTTGACATCTCCTTTTGCCTAACTCATTTAATAAATCCTATTCAATAAGATAAAAGTTGGCTTCTATTTTGGGGAGTAGAATAAATACTTATTGACTCAACTAGCCTACCCAATTGTAAAACAATTACAAAATCACTTTATGGAAATATTTTATCAATGGTGATGAAATATTGTTATACATATACAATGTGAAAAATTGTTATACAAATACAATTCCTTGATATTGATTTGATTATCATCTTTACCCAGGATTTCAGACTTTAGACCATGAAGATCAGATTGCTTTGCTGAAAGGGTCTGCAGTTGAAGCTATGTTCCTCCGTTCAGCTGAGATTTTTAATAAGAAACTTCCATCTGGACATGCTGACCTATTAGAAGAAAGAATTAGAAAGAGTGGTAAGTATTTGGTTAGTGGTAAAAGAGTTTGTTACTGCAAGTAAAATTAGCACACCTCCATGAAGACAGGGCTCTGGCCAATCTTATACAATATTATATGTCCATTGTGCCTAGCATGGAGAATGGTTTTAAAAAGATATGTGTTAAATAGGACTTTTAGAGCCTTTTCTTTCTAGAGTATTATTAATATCATTCTATGATGGACTGAAATAAGTTTAAAGATTTTAAAACCAGTATTTTAGAATAGAAATTGGAAGGAAAGTTTTCAGGCTGATCTGCATCTGTGATATAAGTACAGTAATTTAAAACTTGGAAATTATTTTTAAAAGCAGTCTTTCCATAGTCATTATGTCTCTTCCTCCTAGTTAAAAATTAAAATTATAATTAGCATCATTGGTAGATGTAAAAAATACACTTTTAAAACAGATGCATTATTCTTAATATATTCATTGATTTACTAGTTTAACAAACATTTAAAGGCAAGGTACTATGGTGGCAGTAAGAGAGAAATCTTCACTGTTCCTTACCCTTAGAAGCTTCTAGTCTAGTGGGGAGAGATGAACTGTACCTGATTATAATAAAATGTGGAAGAGAAAAACTGAGAGAAATGAAGACTTCTAGTTGGGAGGGCTCTGAAAAGGTTCTGTTGGCAGTTGAGCTGGGGCTTGAATGAGATTAGATTTGGATACCCAGAGTGGCGGTGCAGAAGAGAAAGACCAGCAGGCACAAAGGGAGAGAGGCAAGAAAGCTCAGGATGTGCACACAAAGAAGAGTTTGTAGCTGAGTTGATTGGATTAAAGAGAAATTAACAAGGAAAAAAAGCCAGAACCAGATCATTGAGGGTCTTGAATGTTGGGCTAAAGATTTTGCTATTTCCTCAGTAATTTTGGAAGATTTTTGAGCTGAGAAGGGAAAACACCAAAATCAAGCTTTGTAAATCTTCCAGCAGTGTTAGGATAAGCCTGTTAGGAGGTGAAAGGTTTCAAGGATATCATCCTTGCTGCCAGGAGAAATGGAGAGGACAGGAAGGATCTGGGAGATATATCACTGCAGCTTAACATTCTTTGAAAGACATTATGTTGTCAAGAAATATGGATTTTGGCCCTGGACATATTTTATCACCTACTGTTCTGGGCCTTAATTTATACTCTGTGTGTGTGTGTGTGTGTGTGTGTGTGTGTGTGTGTGTACAGGCTAAAGGAAAATAAGTTGAGTCAGGTAACCTCTAGAGCACAATCCAATCCTACAAGTCTTATTGTTTTTCTTCTCTTAACTAATTCATTTTTTTCTGATTGGTGATTTAGCCAGTCACTCAGCCATTCAGGCAGCTACTGAAGTATCCTGATTTTAAAGCTACAATCAGTAACTGACAGTTCAACTTAGGAAAGAATTAAAGGACACAAGCTAAATTTTCACATGGATAAATTTTGTTGTTGGTTTAAGCAATTGAAGGTAGATTGGTGGTTATCTCTTTATATAGCAAATTATGGTGGCTTCAACCTGTGATAGATATAGCCTCACCAGCATACATTGGTCGTTTATTTAGTCCTGGCTTGGTGCTCTCTTTAGGAAAATCCATGAGTCAAATCTAATTTTTAAAAAAACGAATAAAGGGAGATAATGACATGTGACAAAATATTATTCATTTTCCAGACAGGTCTCTTTAACTCTCAAAGAATCATACTCTGGTTAATGTGTGTTCAGTATATTCATCAAGAAACTGTGGTGATTAAGGAAACTGTGAAATCCAGCTTGAATTTAGGGTTCATTATTTATTTGCTGCATGTTTCATTTTTTTTAAAAAAGCTATTGAAATAGATTCCATAACCAATTTTATTTCTTTGAAATCATGTCTAACTTTAATATTCTGCAATTTTGCCTGGATTTCAGTAATAAAAACATCACAAGGCAGGGTCTTCCTCTTTTTGAGTCAGTATTTTATTCTAGACACCTAGCACATGTCTGGCTTGGAATGGATGCTCAACAAAAACCTGTGGAATGAATGGAGGTTTGTCTTCAGTTATGAAGCCTGTCCATCTATTTACTTTTCAGATGGTTGTTCTCCTGAATATCAGAGTTATTTGTATCCCAGACTGACAACTAACTAACAAAAGGTCTCATTTTTCTAAAACTTGCCTATACTAGTTAATCTGGGGAACAGATACCTCTTTTGCATTTGAGTGTAAGAAAAGGAGAAAGGCAATTTGGGTATGGAAGTTCTGCTGTGTTCTTTCTCTCCTCATCCACAAAGATGAGTCATTTAAAGTTGATTCAGGTGCCAGACAATATCTATCATATGAAATGAAGTGTTTTGATGATAGGATATCTGAAGGGAAATTGTCTAGTAGCTGTTCTCTCTCTCTCTCTCTCTCTCTCTCTCTCTCTCTCTCTCTCTCTCTCCTGGGTGCTCAGGTTCCTTTTTTCTAAATCTTTGACTGGCTTCATCAGACCTCCTGGGTCCTGAGCCAAGTCAGGTGCTGCCATTTTCATGGTGACCACCAGGTTAGTACTGGGTCCTTTCCCCAGCCTGGATGAGGTGGAGAAAATCCCTTCTGCTCTGGTTCATCTAAAAGAAAAAAAAATTAGTTTTCTCAAAAAGTTTACTGAATTAGTAAGAGGAAAATTATAAATGTTTATAATTTATATATGTAAGCATAAAATGCAAAATGCATATTTACATAATGTCTGGGGCTGTTAATGATAATACTAAAAGATACTTATTCAGCACCTACTATGTGTCAGGCTCTATTCTAAGTGTTTGTGTGAGCTCTAGTTCCTACAAGAAGCAGATACCAAGATGGGACTGAGTGTGCCATTTCCCCCAGTTGGGGGAAATGCCCCTGAAGAATAAAGGGGCAGGGAGCAGGTGTAGGCCAGGACATGATAACACCACACTGATCTGACACCTGTGAACAGAGAGTGGGGAAGGAAGGATTGGCTATGAGAGCCTCAGACCACAGCGCAGTTCTGAGAAAGTCTCAGGCAGAACAACGGAGAGGGACCTAGTCCAAGCTGCCCATTGACTGGGCCAGCACTGGCACGCCCATTGTGCGGTTGGGAGACAACCAGTGTAAATATGTCCTCAGTGTTCACAGGGGCAGCAGCACGTGCTAACAGCGGGCAATGCTCCACACTGCAGCTGTCCTTAAGGGAGATCCAAATGGAGCATCTCCACGGCCAATGTCGTGCTTCACAAAAATGTCATTTGCTCTTTATAACACCTCGAGTAGATATTATGAGTCCTACACCAGACCTAGACCCTGTTAATACCAATAACTTCCTTCCTCCAAAATCTGAGTCCCAAGCATCTCTTCTCTCTAACATTACCCCGTAACTTTCCAGCTTACCCGCTTCCAGGACCCTGATTCCAAGGATTCTTTGTCCTAAAACAATTTCTATTCATTGACCTTTCATCCCACTAACCCTCTGGTCATTGATTCTATTAATACCACCATTTGCCTGACCTCACTTCCCTCAGTACTTGACTTGGTGTTCATGGTCCATCAATATGATCACTTCCTTGGATCATTCACAGCATATCCTCAACTCCTTGTCTTTCTCTCACCGAAGGACACCCCATCTCTGAGTAAATACAACTCTCCACCTACTCTGTGCTCAAACCTGAGAACTGAAGCCGTGTGGTTGTAGGTTAATGAACACACACCTCGAGTGGACCTCAGCACCACCCATGTATCCCCTTTCCCACTCTTATTCTTATGGGAAACCATCTCACACCTTCTTCTCTCTCTTCAAACTTCCAACATCTCTCCACCCTCATTCTCACCTGATAACCTTATTGATAAAAGGTCTATTTCAATAACATGCCATAAGAGTTAAGGCTCATGGAAATGTGGTCAAACTTAGAGGAAGATGGACTTCCAAGCTTAGTCAATATGCCAAGACTGGGATCGTCATGAGAAACAAGGCTGGGGCCAAGTTCCTAGAATTAGATGCAAAATGGGGCCCCCCAGGGTTTCCTGAGTCTGGGCCAGAGCCCAGCCTGTTGGGGTAAGTGGAGTGGTCCTAGTTATGAAGAATCCGAAGCTTCAAGGTACATGCTCACACGCAGGTTCCCTTGACTTCTGGCTGCCCCACATTTCTGGAGCCTTTCTGCAACACATCAGCTACCTCCAATTGGCAGAAACAATGTCCTAGTCCTCCTTTTATCAAATTGAGCACTTTACAAGCACCTGTGTTTTTGCCTGAAGAACACCTCTGACGATGAGTCGTAGAGTGGAGATGACCAATATCCCCTCAACCTTAAGAACAATCAAGCTATTCTGGCTCACATTATCATCTCAGAATACCTCCCCATATTTCTCGGGGTGGCTCAGTAGCCCTCCCCCTCTCCCTTGATGAGCCCTGAGTCAGTGTAGAATCCTGTTGTTTTCATTTGACTCTGCCAGTATGGTAATCATCTAGTAGCAAGGGAGGATCATATGCACTGGGGACTTGTTTATCTGTTCATTCATTTTTGTTTTCTTTTTCCAACAAATTTTTATTGAGTACTGCCAGGGGCCAGGTACACTGGGGAGGCAAAGATGAATAAGATAAAGTCATAATCCTCAAGGACTTCGTCTTCCAGGGGAAATATACATGAAAGTAAATAGTCATGTATCATATATAATTTTAGTTAGAGGTTTGGCTGCTATAACAGAGACTAAGAATAAAGAGGGCTCAAACAAAATAGAAAGTTGTTTCTGTCTTGTAATAGCCTGGGCATGAGGACTGATAGGGCAGCTTCATCGTGTCTTTCTGTGTTGCTGCTCATCCATCCATAGACTGCTGACTGCACCATGTGGTCTGAAGTGGCTCCCCATCATTTTGGTACAACCAGATTCCGGCCAGTGGGGAGGGCAGAGGAGGGAAAGAACAGCCCACCCTCCGTGTGAGGGTGTGACCCAGAAGAGGCATACACTACTTCTATTGACTTTCCACTGGCAAGAACTTAACTTCTTCATCATACCTTGAGACAAGAAGCAGGGAGACTTGCAAAGAGA